GCCGTAGTTCTCCCGACCCAAGTGGGGCAGGATGGCGCCGGTGAGGCCGTCTTCGAAGTGGCGGGCCGGAGGATTTGCGGCGCGCGAGGAAGGGACGCCTCAGGTCGCATCCAAGAACCATAGTGGGAAACGCAGGACCTGGCGGCCTAGCCACCAGCAAGCCTTCCCCGGAAGCGTTCGCGAGGGTATGTCAGAAGACAGCAGTGCAGAAGGCCGAGGGTGCTTGCTGCGTGTCTGCCCGGAAAAGAGCTTTGGGACATCATCCGGGTCTTTGTTGAGACCTGGGAAGCCGTTCCTAAGCCCGCTCAGTCCATTAGCTTCTCAGTCCTTTGCGTGGGAGAACGGGACGGTGCTGTCAACTGAATCTTACCGGAAGCACGGAGCGTCTAGGGGGTCTAGACTGCGCTATCCAGACAGATTCGTATCTGTACTACAGCAAAGGAAAGAAAGATGGGGTTAAAAGTACACTGCCCCAAAGCCTTGATACTTACAAAGGCTCCAGTTTCATCTTCCTCTCTTACTTAGATTCCCTGTTTTGACTTTGTAAAGCCTCTCAATTGCGCTTCAAATGGTTAAGTATTTTGTACGATCTAATAATTGACAAATGTTCAGAAAGTTGTACATCATCCCCTTTTGTGGTTTTGAGTTTTATTTTGGAAAATAGATGATTAGTAAGTTTCTCCAAAAGAAAAGTAAGATTCTCCCACCCTATTTTTAAGTATTTGCTGAGGACCTCCCCCCCCCCCGTGATGTTTTAGATGATTTAAAGAAATTTCAATTTGTGAATACGATTATAAATTCAAGTTAAGTAGTAGACTTTAGTTTACTCTTTAGTTTTACTTTGAAGGTGTTGTGTGTGTTTGGTGTCTGACAATTGCTAGTCTTATATTCAGGCAAAGGGCCACATTCTCCTCAGTACATCATTAAATGTGTTGACTAGACTAATGTTTAAATCAAAACCAAGTAATTCTATCATTTGAATATTATGTTTAAAAAAGAACTTCATTTCTAGTAGCTTTATTTTTCACTTTCTGTCAAAAGTAATTGTGACCGAAATCATTAAATGTTAGGACAAGGTTTTGCATTTCGGAGGAAACTGAAGATCCAGCAAAATTACAAGAAATTGCTATGGAAGGTAAAGAAGGCATCAACGTCCCAGGAATCCCAGTTCACTGATCATTACCCAGACCATCTGAAACACCTCTATTTAGCTGAAGAAGAAAGACTCAAGAAACAGCGGAGAAAGGTTGGTCTGCCTCCCTCAGAAGAACAAGTTGACCAGCCTGTGCCTGAAGAAGAGTGTAACACTGAACAGACTTTGTCTGAGAAACAGTCTAGTGATCACCAGTCTCAGCCAGAGCAGCTGTGTACACCAAAGTATGTACTTTCTTCCTTTGAAACTCTCCACTTTAAATGTAAATAATGTTTCATAGAAGATATAGGGAAACATGGATAAGAATTAGAAGTTTTCTTAATACATTTTGAAGTCATGGTATAACATTTTCACAATCTCCGTTTTTTTTGTTTGTTTGTTTGTTTGTTTGTTTTTTAAGTGTAAAATGACTGAAATAAGCTAGTTGAATGTAGGTGAAAAGAACGTGAAATGAGTTTTGAATTAGTCTTTCAAGAACAAGTAACTTAATTGAACAATAATGAAGCCCAGCTATTAAGAAATGTATATTTGGAGCTGGAGGGATAGCTCAGCCGTTAAAGGCTAGGCTCACAACTAAAAATATAAGAAATGTATATTTTTGCCTGGTGTGTGTTTTACATTTTTTAGACTAGGCTTAGTGTATTATTTGTAAGGCCAACATTTGGGAAGCTGAAGCAGAAAGAACAATTGGCAAGTTCCAGGCCATTATGGGCAACATGGTGAGATACTAGAGAATTAATGGAAGTGTGTAGTCTTTGACACTTTAGATTATAGAGCCAGATTTTACATATTGGTATGCCAGTGCCCTCTATAATGGGTAAGACAGAATAAAAGTACTTGAGAGCCACCATGTTGTACAGCCTCAAAGTGGATCGTTGTCTCGGGTTAATTACTTACCAAGTTCGTGAGACCCCAGAAAAGACAAGAGCCCACTTACTGATGCAAACACATAAGGTTTAATGTTACAAGCCTATGCAGGGACCCTGTCCAGCAAACTGGCACAGCAGCTACAGGGAAAGGACACCTGGCCTCAATTGCAAGGGGTTTATAAAGGAAAAGACGGAAAGCAGGGTGCCTTGGCTGTTCAGGATTGAGTAAGAGTAAGTGACCTTTGGATTCATTGACGTGGGGGCTAGGGGAATTTCAAAATTGTTACTAACAGTTTCCCACAAAGACAGTTGTGACAAGTAGATGTTATTTATCAAAATTAGTCATTGCCTGACCACCCCGATAGGGTCACTCTTTCCAGGGTGGGCACAGTTTGGGTGTTCCTTAGAACTGTTTATGGTTCCTTGGCTAGAGCTGAATCAGCCTTGTGCCACACGGGGAATTTCTCAAGGTGGCTTTTTCTGAGGATGGAGCTAACTCCATTCTCTCCAGTCTACTTTGCTCTTACATGAATAATGTTCTTAAAGTATTATATTTCATGACATTTTGATGACTGAATTTATGTCAAGCATTTTAAAATGTGTGATATTTGGTGTTTATGAATGCTAACTTTGATTAGTCATATTTTAAATTTCATTTTCTGCAAATGGTACAGGAAATAGGTTGTAGTTAACAAAAATCAAGCAAGGTGTGGTTCTCTTTGCCTGTAAGCCTCTCAGAAGAGTAAAGCAGGAAGGTTGTTGCTAATTCAAGCTAGCTTGGGCTACATAGGGAGAGTCCATCCCATAAAACAACAAAAATGTTGAAACATGCTGACACATGGATGTTTTACTGGGTGTATGGTGTCTGATTCCTGTCAACCCCTGTACTGAGGAGGCCTAACCACAGTTTGCCACAGTTGGAGTCTAAGCTGGACTAGCTGGTGAGTTTCAGGCCAGCTTACACTACTTTATAAGATCCTGTCTTAGAACAAAGCCTTCTCTATCACTTTGATCTTATAACAGCCAGCTTATGAAATTTTGTCTATACATGATTCAATCAAGCGTACATTAACAGGTAAACTAGCAGGGAAGCCAGGCATCCACTTTGGATCTTAACTTAAAAAAAAAAAAAACTAAAGTTTTGTCTTTCAAATCTGGGACAATGGACAATGATTGCATGTACAAGACATGCAAGATTAAGCCAGAAAAAAAAAATATCCCGCCGGGCGTTGGTAGCACACGCCTATAAGCCCAGCACTCGGGAGGCAGAGGCAGGTGGATCTCTGTGAGTTTGAGACCAGCTTGGTCTCCAGATCGAGTGCCAGGATAGGCTCCAAAGGTACACAGAAAAAACCTGTCGCAAAAACAAAAAAAAAAAAAAAAAAAAAAAAAAAAAAAAAAACCCAGTATGTACTGTGGAGAAGGTCACCAAGTTCCATACTTAGTTTAGGAGATTTTGGCAGCTGATGCTGGGTAAGAGGGAGGTCAGTCAGCAGGTCTGAGAGCTAACCGTGCTCCAGTAGATGGCCCCACACCCATGCATGTGCACATACTGGCAGCAGTAAGGGGATTCAGTGAGTTTAATAAAAATACAAAAGAAAGCCATGAAGTTTTTAAGGAAATTCGGTGTAGAGGATAGGGAAGGGATTTGAGAAGAAAAAATGGTGGGTGGATTTGACCAATTTGTATTAGTAATGTTTTGTATATAAATACTGTATTTGAATACACAGTTGCATAATTTTGTCTAATTTTGTCATTTCTTAATTGTTTAACTTGCATGTCTTAATTTCTCTTGCAAGTTCTGTCACTGTTCCAAAGAAAAAGAAAACTTCAAACCAAAAGGCACAAGAAGAGTATGAACGGATACAAGCAAAGCGTGCTGCTAAGAAATTTGTAAGTTCTACTTTTTTATTATTTAGGTTTTTCTTTATCTTTAACATGTGTACAAGCTATGTTTCTTAGTATTGGGCATGTAATTATTGTCTGCTTCAATACTTACTTCTTTTTGTATTGCTCAGCAAACTTGTAGAATTGTACGATATTCTAAGTCCTTGATTGGCTCAGACAATACCAGTAGGTTAGTGATAAAATTCAAAACAGTTGCTTGTCAGTTAATAATATGAGCATCTGGCATTTGTGATAGTATTTCTCAGACTACAGCCTGGGAACTTAGATCTTTAACAAGTTCCTTGAAATAATCTGATCATGCTGTAAATTTGAGGACAGAGACCTAAGAGCTATATTGATGATTTTCCTAATTTTACACTTCAGTAAAAAGCCACAGAGGAAGTGCTGGAATAAAATACCCAGAAGTGAAGCCATCTCCCATGCTTAAATATTTTCTCGAGTCTGCTTTCACCCTTGACCTATGACCTTAAAAACTGATCTGTGCAAGGTAGTAGTGGTTAGTCTGAAGGTTCTGGTTTTTAGGGTTTTGTTGGTTTGTTTTGTACTAAAGCTTAAGTAATGTACCAGTATTTCATCAAAATATCCCCAAAGACAGTACTGATATAATTTCATTTATATACACAGAGATGATCTCTAGCTAATGTTAATACAAAAGCCAGTGACACTTTACCCATGAGATCAAGATTGTTAAGAATTAGTTAAATAGACCCATAAATAAGAGTAATGCCATAGGGATAAATCAGGCAACCAGACCAGGCAGCAGAACTCTTAAATAAGTTTCAGATCTTTTTTGAGGTCTTACTATGTACCTCTGGCTGGCCTGGAACTTAGAGATCTACCTGCTTCTGCCTCCTGGTGCTGGGATTAAAGACGTGCACCACCACCACCCAGCTTCATATCTCTATGTATATATTAAATACTATGCCACATAGTTATATGATTTTAAGTAATGTGATGTCACGTGATGAGCACTTGAATCTATTTATAAAACCAAGCTCCCAAGCTCCACCACATAGCAGTCCCCAGCAAGTCACTTCTTTATTACTGAGCTTGGTCCTTGTATGTAAGGCCAACAAAGTAAACTAGGAAAAGTTTTTAGAAGAACAAAGTGTACTGAAGTCTCACAAATTGCATGTAAGATTCTTTGCTAACTATTATTACTTGTAATAACAAGTGAGTGTAAGTCTAATGAATGTCTAGTATGTCATTTTGAGGCTCCCTGGACTGGAGATGAGCGCACTTACTATACAGTACAGCTTCTTTTCAGCTGTTCTTTTAAGTTAGTGATAATGTTATAGTGCTTGTTCGATAATGGATCTTCAGAACTAGTTATCATTTTGGGTTACAATCTTCTATACTTGAGTTTCTATCATAGCAATAAATGAGCATGACTGACTTAAATGGTGAAGCTCATGGTGTCTAACAGAGTGTTTTGCAAACTAGCTAAAGAACAAAAAAAAATGCAAGATATGGTTTTCTGGAAATAAACTTTTAGTGTTATACAGAATATTAGATTACTTAACATCTGTAAAGGTCCCTCTAATTCTTTAGTAGATTTAAACAGTGAAATTGATAAGTATTTGACTTTTCTTTTACTTACATAATATGCATAAAATGCTGCCATGACTGTTATTCTTTGGTTTCTTTTTATCATTATGGTATGAAAGCAAAGAGCTCACACTTCTTCAATTTTGATAATTATTCACATGTTATACAACATAAGAGACAAATATCAGTGGTTTGCATTGTGATGTCAATTTCAGAGCAGTTCTGACCTGTGTTTTCTGTCTGTGATGAATGAGCATTGTGTATGTTTATAATTGTAGGAATTTGAAATGAGAAAGCGAGAACGAGAAGAGGCTCAGAGGCTCTACAAGAAGAAGAAGATGGAAGCTTTCAAAGTCCTGAGCAAAAAGACTAGAAAGGGCCAGCCAAACCTGAATCTGCAGATGGAGTATCTTCTCCAGAAGATACAAGAAACCAGTTAAACTAGACATTAAATGCCTATGGACTGGTGCATCTGTTTGTGTGTTGGGAGCACCAGTGAACTAAATTTGCTGATGTCAATGGATTGCTGAATTACTTTTTTGTTTTTGTAATAAAAAAAAATGCTATATATTTTTTTCCACAAAGAATGACTTATCCTGAAGAACTTTAAAACTTTCCATGGAAGTTGTATGAAATAAAAACTGTTTGAAATAGGAGGCCTGAGCTCACAGGTGAAGCATTTCAGTGATGGAAACACGTTTCAGTGCAACAAGCTCAGTGCAACTGTAAGACCCCCGAAGGGAGACCCTCACTCAAATCTCGGGAATAGCGCGCACCCAGTGAGTCACCGAGACCCGGACTTGCTGCAATCACACGAGGAAGTTTATTGAAAAAGTAATTGAATGAGATCTCAAGCCAGCATGCTAGGGTCGAGGCTCAAAGGAGTTCGACCCCGACCCAAACTTGTGACAAGCTTATAAAGGCAAAAACCATAAAGGAGGGGAGGGGGACTAGGGAGGAAATAGAGGAAGCCCAAAGTTACACATTCACTCATAAAGGCAAAAAACACAAAGGAGGGAGGAGGACTAGGGAGGAAATAGGGGAAGCCCAAAGTTACACATTTACTCATCAGTTAAACTATGTGGACACACCTGGAGCGTTTGAACTTTTCACAGAGGTCGTTGGGACATCCTGTGGCTATTCCAGGAGCTGTTTTTTTGTTTTTTGTTTTTTTTTTATGAGAGTTCGGGGAGCGGCCACCTGCAGGGGACGGGAGCCCCCAAGGTGACGAGCCCATGTTCTTATAGACAGCTAGTAATTTTTACTCTTCACAACAAGCATCCACAGCACCGGGGGCTTGCTTACTGGGAACTAGGTCCTTGCGTTTCAGTGCAGCAAGCAGCAAGCAGCCACAGCACTGGGGGCTTGCTTACTGGGAATTAGGTCCTTGTGTTTCAGTGCAGCAAGCAGCCACAGCACCAGGGGCTTGCTTACTGGGAACTAGGTCCTTGTACTTGTTTGGCAGTTGGATTACCATTAAAGTACATTGTATCCCTGGGAGTTTTGTGATAGGGTTCCCGTGCTGCTTCTAAGTCTCATGCTGGTCTCAAACTTGTGATCATCTTGCCTCTGCCACCAGGGCACCACCGTGCCTAATAGATTGTATCGTGTTTAAATTAAATTCATTTTAATGATAAAGAATGACTCTCCTTGGAGTTTTTATTTATTAATTTTTAGTACAGGAATGTGGATTTTCTAGGCTATCTGAAAGTAGGATACCTGGGCACTAAGTTTGCACCCCTGTAATAAGATAGGCCTAATAAGTATTATTTATGAATTGAATTTCAAAGAAACATTTTGTTAGATGAAATTACTTTTGATATCTAAATGATGGGAGAAGCCCAGTATTTTCTCATTGTTAAGCTCCCCTTAACATCCTTGGGAGGGACCCTTTACTTTGAAGAGTATTGTCAGCACTTAGTATTGTTGGTACCTTTGAGCTGAGAAACTTTCTGCCTTCAGTTGCAACAGAACAAGAAAGCCTTAAGATTGTAAGCAAAAAAGATTGCACAATAATGATTCTAAAAGGAATAGCATACATTTTAACATTGTGTTAACTTTTTAGAGAAGCTTTGCCTGCTGCAGCCTTCCCCCTGGGTTAAAAGTGCAATGACAGAAACTTATGGAATTCTAAACTTACTCTTTGCATAGAAGAATAATGCTTAGAAGTTTGTGATACCAAGATGCTATTGCACTTAAACAGCCCAGAAAGCCAAAATCTGATGAAGGAAGTGTGCACAGTGAACAATTTCACTGAAATCCTTTCCTCACATCTGTATTCTAGATTCTTCATCCTGACAACAAATGGAGAACTGGTCCTTTTAAGGGCATTTTACAACACTGTTAAGGAGAAATCTACCTTGAGGGCTTGTTTTGTTGTAGTTCTGTTGTTTGCTTGCTTTTGTTTGCATCCAAGGATGTTTTTAGGACAGAAAGCAGTTAACACCCAGTTCAAAACAAAAGCTTTCAGATTTCAGTGTGGTATAAAAACCACACAGCTCATCTGAAAGCTCTACCCTCATGTTGTTGGTTGGTTTTTACTCTTAGCTGTTTTTGGGGAGTGGGGTGGGGGCACCTAGCTCCCAAATAAGTCATACAGAGGCTTATTCTTTAATATGAATACCCAGCCTGAGCTTGGCTTATTTCTAGCCACCTTTGCTTGATTTTAAATTATCCCATTCATCTTTTGCCTCTGGGTTTTTATCATTCTCTATTCTATATACCTTTCTTTACTTCTTACTCCAAGGCTTATGTAGCTGGGTGGGTGGCCCCTGATGTCCATTCTCCTTTTCTTGCTCCTTCCCAAATTTCTCCTTTTTCTGTCTGCCTGCCAGTCCTACCTAGACTTTTTCTGCCCAGCTGTTGGCCATTCAGCTCTATATTAGACCAATCAGGTGCTTTAGACAGTTTCAGGGGGTCAGGGTTAGTGTTTCAGGAATTCAGGTTCAGGGGTTCAGAGTTAGGGTGTCACGAGGCTAGGGTTTCAAGGGATCAGGTTTTCAGGGTGTCAGGTGGTCAGGATTTCAGGGGGTTATGGGATCAAGGTTTCAGGAATTCAGCGTGTCAGGGTTAGGGCTTCAGGGGTCAGGGTCAGGTTTTCAGAGGGTTAGGGTTTCAGGCAGTCATGTTTAGGGTTTCAGGGGGTCAATGTTAGTGTTTTAGGAGGTCAGGGTTAGGGTTTCAGGGGGTCAGGATTAGGGTTTCAGGGGTCAGAGTAAAGTTTTCAGGGGGTCAGGGTCAGGGTTTCAGGGGATCATGCTTAGGGTTTCAGGGAGTCAGGGTCAGGGTTTCAATGGGCCAGGGTTTGAGGGTGTCAGTATTTCATGGGTCAAGGGGTCAGGGTTTCAGTGGCTTAGGGGGCTAGGGTTTCAGGGGGTCAGTGTTAGGGTTTCAGGCTGGCAGCATTAGGGTTTCAGGAGGGTCAGGGTCAAGGTTTCAGGGGATCAGCCTTAGGGTTTCAGGGGGTCAGGGTTAGGGTTTCATGGGGTCAGGGTTAGGGTGAAGGAACCAGCTCCCTTTTGGCAGCCATTACAGCCGAACACATGCTTGCCATAAACCTGCCTTGGTCACGTAGAGGTCAGATGCCTGTCTCGTGACAAGGAACCCATCAGAAGTTAGTCACTAGAAAGTCAGATGCCTGTTTCATGACAAGGAGCCAATCGGAAGTTAGCTGGTGGCGCTATGCTTTACGACCCTGGGTGTGCTTTACGGACAAGCGCACAGCAATGACGTAGAGAGCATAGCAACCACCCTGGGAGGGCCTATGAGCCATAACAACCAGTTGACCAATCAACACAGGGCAAGCCCTCCAAGCCTGGA